AAGATGCAAAGAGGAAGGTTAAGACATTTAAAAATTGTTACCTGTTTCTGATATCAAGTGCCAAAAAGCCTCCATCCCTAGCTACCTTCAAAACAATTATATCATTGTGTCTTTATTACCAATCCTCTTTATTACCCTCCAAGGATGTAGTTCAGAAAGATGGTGTAATAATATAAGATGGATGTTTACAGAATCTGATGTAAATGGATTGACCTTTTTCAAAAGATTGTTTTATCAGCACTTTTATTCACAAATTAAGGCACATGTGTTGGTTTTGAACTCGCTTTCAGTACTTTCATTTGAAGTTTCCATCACTTCTTGTTCTGGTGCTAAAATATTTCATAGTGCATTTGAACCTCCATTGGCCAAGGGGCAGTTAGAGAAGAAAGGACCCTTGAAGTTCCATTTGTGCTGCTCGACATCTCCCTTTGAGGTCTTTATTGAGAAATTGAGTTGAACAATCTAGCAATCACAAACATGTGCCTTAATAACTTGTTCCAGCATCCTTGCACACTGCCACCCAGGGCTCCCACTCCTCCATGCCAGCCAGCCCTCACAGCCCTAGGGATGGCAGAATGAACAAGAAAGGATATTTCTGATGCAGCCTTCCACACTTCAGCTGCAAATGCAGTGCCCAGCCTCTAGAGCAGGGCTGCCCAATAAAAATATCATTCGAGACACTTATATAATTCTAAATTTTCCAGAATTCTCTAAATTCTAAATTTTCTGAATTTTCACTCTCAAAAGAGGAAAAAGAGACAGGTGAAATTAAACAATAACATTTGCACCACCTAAAATATCCAAAGTAATATTATGCAACAAGTAATTGATCCTAAAAATATCACCAAGACATTTTACATTCTTTTTTTGTGCTACGTATTAAAAATCTGACGTGAACCATACCTACAGCACATCTTAATTCAGATTAGCCATGGTCCGAGTGCTCAACAGCCACATGCAACTGGTGGCTACAGTACTGGGTAGTAAGGTTCTAGAATGTTTCTCTTATGAAGTTGATCAAGAAAAACCTGAAACAGATAATAACTCTTAGGACCTTTTCCATAAAAAGTCCTTTTCCATAATACATTAAAAAATATATATGCATGTTGTATGTGTGTGTATATTGTTTTCTTATCAAGCAAAAGGGAAAAAAAAGTCCAAGAGGGGAACCAGGAGAGCTGTAATGGAAATAAAACTGACAGCCTCTCAAAACTCAGGTGGCACTTTCCTTTTCCAGTTAATTACGGTTTTAATTACATGGCTTCTTGCGACTCCTCGATACCTAATAAACCAGACTCTTTGGGGCGGCCAAGTTGGGTTTTGCTTGAACTGCAGGTGTAAGACTCAGCATGAAACATAAATCAACTTCTTAAACACACTCCCAGGGTGTGTTCAAGCTTTTTCTTCCCGTTGGCTTGTAAAATCACATCTTTTCACCATTGTTGGTAAAGAAATGATTGAAGCAGCTATGAGTTGAATAATAGCTTTGAGTTTTTGACTCACTTGGCCTGACATAAAACATTTTGACTCCAAAGAAAATAGAAGAGGAGAATAAAAGATGTGGCTTTTATCTTCTTGCAGTCTTATGAATAATATATATTCTTAAATATTGACCATTTCATTTAAGAAAATAAAAATGAAAGTGCTGGGAATCCATTAGGGTTTCTGGTTTGAGTATTTGGAACCCATAGAATGATGAGAGCTGCATTTACTCCAGGCAAGTGCTGTGTGAGGTCAGTCAAGTTCAAACACAGTAGACCATGGGCCAGGGTTGGGAGCTCTGCTGCAGTAGAAAACAGGCAAGGAGGCATGCAGTCCTAACGTGCTCATTGGCTGGAAACCCAGCAGCATCTGATGGTATTATGAGCAGCTTGCAATTTAGCCTCAGCAGCAGGAAAATCTGCACTTGATCAGCTCTGCCATAACTGGTAAACGTCACCATGGTAAATGTGGATTTCAATGAAAGGTTTTGCAGTGCCTAGTGATAATTCTGCCAGTTCTCCCTCCTTCCCTCCTCCATCCATAAAGAGAAAGTGCAACATATGGTATTTGCATGTTATCACAAAATATGAGATACTGGGTGAAATAAATTATGTGTGAAGGGGGTTTAGCCCATAATTTCTAGTAATTTCTAAAACATGAAAATGGCTTTTGATGTAGGAGAGAGGGCCTTTCTCCTTGGGGAAAACTTCAAAACACATCCCAGGCTATATAAACATAAATGCGTTTACCTTGCTGGGCCTCCCTTCTTTTCTCCTTGGAATCTGGCTAATTGTCAATGATGTCTGTGTTCTAACAAGAGTTTTCTTTATCAGACCAGAATTATTTGAATTTGGGCTCTCTAATAGTGACATGCTGCTTTGAGTAGCAGAGCTTGTGGGAGCCTGTGAGAGGGGGAGGGAAGGAAGGTGCCTTATGTGAATCACTGTCTTGTCATGAAGAATGTCTAAAGTTAGTCCATGATCTGTTGCTCCTTCCAGGTTCTCATCAATAATGCTGAGTCCTAAAAAGATGTCTTTCTTGTCTCCACAGGACCTCTACTTGTTCTGCTTCTCCCATTAACCTTCAAAACCCTCTGCCCACGCTTGGAGATACAAGGATCAAACCCAGGTTCGAGGGCATGATGAAATCCTTGGAAAAGTCACATGTCTAGCTCTGACTGGTCCCCTGGCCGTCACTGCATTTTGGAAAATAAGTCCAGAATGGATGTAGAGATATCTACAGTCTCTGGGTAGGCAGATTCTTTACTTTTATAATAGCAAATGAAGAGCTAGAAACTGGCATTCGTGGGTATTATTGTTTCTGCAGCCATAGTACTAGATACAAGTGTTCTATTCATCCTTTATTTAAAATAAATGCCACTTACTGTGCACAGTAGTTAGTTAATAAGGACTTGTTAAGTCATGTCTACTGTAAAGTCCAAGGGACAGGTGAACAACCATGAGCATCCAGTCCAGTGTCTAGTACACAGTTAGTGCTCAGGAACTAATGGTGAACAAATAAACGAAGTGGAGTTAGACTCCTCCCTCTCTTCTGAACATGTAGAGGTAGAATAAGGTTTTTGGAATCTGGATTCTATAATTGTGTTAGAATCCAGGAAAACCTGGTCCAGTTACATATAATTAAAATGCTCATTAACTTGTGAAAAAAAGACTGAGAGACTCCACTTAGACCTATGCCGAACTCCCAATCTCTCCTCTCAGTCAGTGCTCTGAGCTGGCCAGAAATTCTAAGGACATTGTTTACCCTGCAGTGCCAGAGGCCTTGTCCCTGAGCAGTGGGATTGAGAGCAGAGGGACATGCTTTTCTGGAAAAAAGCAACATACCAATCAAATCACTAGCAATTGGCTGGCCCTTTAAAGCTTAGAAAGCCCTTTCACAGAGCTTTTTACTCTGTTAAACTGCATAAAAGCCTTGTGTGAAAAGCATCATCATCTTCATTTTATAGAAGAGGAAACTGAGGCTCAGAGAAATGAAGAGCCTTGCTTAAAGCCACAAGGCTAAGAAATAACTACCTCTAGATTGATACCCAAGATCTGGAACCAAGGAGACTGAGTCATTTTTTAGGGAGTATTTTAAAAAATCAATTAGTAAAAATGTCTTTGTCTCCTTCAGATCCCCAATTTCCTTCCCCAAGACAATTATTGTCTATAGTTTCTTCAGTATTCTTAAAGAAATGTAAGTATGTAAATAAGCACACACACACACACACACACACACACACACATACACGGAATAATATCATGTTCTTCTAATCATAGCTTTCTTTAAATAGCCTATAGCTGGGTGACTATTTATCTAAAACTTCCTATCACATACAGATCTACATCACTGTATTAAATTTCACAAATATAATGTATTTTACCATTTCTCCTTGATTGGACATTTTAGTTGCTTCTAGGAATTTGTCATTGCGAAGAATGCCAAAATGAATACTCATGTAAATGAAAACTATCATTCATTTTCTTATAAGATTACTGTTAACTGGACTGTCCTTTGGGGCCTTGAATGATGGAAAATGCACTGGGATGAGGCATGAGTTCCAGTTCTAGGACTGCCACTCATGAGTTGTGTGACTTTGACACTCTCTGACACTCAACTTTCCCAGATGTAAAATTAGAAAATGACACTGCAGGAAGATCTCCGGAGGGAGAGCTGTGTGGTGGGCAGACCCAGCAGGACCCTGGGACTTCTGGGTTCTGGTCTCAACAAGATCTGTGATGATAAAGCCTTCAAAGTCTTAAGTCCTAAAAAGATGTCTTTCTTGTCTCCACGGGAGACATGAGTCTCAAGAAATGATCTCTGAGACTGCCTACCTTCTCCAAAAAAGTCTACTGGGGAAATAACTTCCTCCAGTCAATAGATTTGCTGGCAGCACTTTCAGAGTAATTAACACTGTAATTTGATACCACCATTGCTTCCTCATCAGCCATGCTTCCCTTCGTGTGTATATCTGCATCTCCCCTTTACAAGTCCTGTGTTTGGGTGAAGCTTGCCATCAAGTCAGAGCTTGTGGCTCAGGCCTAAATTTGTCAATATAATTCCTTAGCCTAGTCACAGTTTTCAAGTCTGGAATGGGTATAGACCAAGTCGGATCACAAGGACACAGAAGGATCTAGGAAAAGAGATTCCTTACTCTTTTGAGGAGCTTCCTCAAGGGGGAAACACATAGACCCAGGAAGTGTTTGTGGCCATCTCCCAACCACAGAGAGAGGCCAGACTTGGGATAAAGTTAACACCAGGAAAGAAGGATGGAGGGGACATTTAAGTGGTCCTTGGTGGTGTGACTGAAACACTAAAACAAACCAACCTGAGGGTCGGCCTGACTTTGCTTTTATAAACCAGTAAGTCCTTTCATGGTTTCAGTCTTTATGGTTACATTTAAAGCACATTTTTCTGTTCATGCAATTTGAGGCATGTTAAGAGACACATAATTGGATATCACTTTAGGTATTCATGTAAGCACACAGTTTATTGATGCTTATTAGGTTCAAGCCAGTGATTATACTAAGTACTTTGTAAGGGTTACCCCCTTTAACCACCATTGCAACCCAGCAAAATAAGTACAACCAGAAAAGCTTCAGAAATTTTAAGTAACTGTCTAGGTTATGCAGCTAATCAGCAAAGGAGAAGGAATTTCATGGGTCCAAAGCTCTTGTTTAAAATGACATACCTCCTCTAGCCACAACTCAAATAAACATGCTTATCCAGTTTACCATCTTTCTCAGTAACACTGTGAAGGGTGAATCTTGTCCCGAGTGCCTTGCCCTGTCGGAACCGTCCTCCAGGTGATACCAGAGCCCTACACCAACGCTCCTCCCCACCAAGGTAAAGGGGCAGCTCGAACTAGCAGGCCACATCCCCACCTACTGAGCTGCCTGTAGTCCCACACTCACTGGATCTGTGTCCCACTCTTCTGCTGCTAGATACCCCTTGAAATTACATTATTAATGGGTAAATATATTTTCATGTTTGCATTTTACCAGAAACTTCTGAAGTCTTCACCCAAAAGAGAGACTAATGGAGGACAATGCAGGCACCAGGTAGATGGAAGATGAGTAGGTAAGATTTTCAAATAGTTTTCTTTGGGTGATAACATGTACCACTGGCAAGATTATAATAACATCAAGCTCACATTTTATTAACTGAAAATGGATAAGTTCATTCAAAGTCTGGTAGAAAAAAAAACAACTCAAGAAGAAAACAGCTAGTCTAAAAAGATAAGAAATAATTACTAAGAGAATCACATTTCTTGCAATAAAATGTCAGAAGGAATGAATCCTTTTTTAGGCATGAATGTGCAAGACTATTTATAAACAAACATGTGCACATACATTTATATAGCACATACAATATATCTTAGCATCCTTTTTCCTGTTCACTTGATTAATTCATAGACACAGCTCAGATCAGCCATTGCTGTCCATTCCTTTGTTGTCATCTTTTCACAGTTTAAATACTTCTAGATTAAGTTCTTCCATAAAAGATTCTCATTACTGTCTTCTGTTTATATAAACCAAAGGAAGGAAGGAAGGCAAGGAGAGAGGGTAGGAGGAATGGGGAAGAAAGAGAAAAGAAAAAACTCTAGTTAACATCAAAAATAACTTACGCAGACTTTCAGTCTAAAAATGAAAACTGCAGTTACATTTATTAATTCTCTTTTCTGCCATAATTTATACTGCAGTCTTTTATTATGTTGATTACTAGGAAGATATAAAAGGACCTCACCAATAATTAATTAATTGTGCAATTAAAATCACACACCTGAATCTTCCACAAATGTTTAAATAAATCATTTTTAAGAGAATTAGTATGTAGTTGCTGTCCCAGATGTTTCAAAGGCAAACAGATGTGTTAATTTGCATACTTTAGGACTTGAACTATACTTAAGTCTCTTCCTTATAATTTTTCCTTTTATTTCCAACTCTAAACTCCTCGGGTAAAAAAAAGGTCAAAACCTGGCACAGTAACAACAATTAATGTCAGAAGAAAAAATAAATACATGTTTTGTGAATCAATAATTATGTTTAACTATAAGTAGACTATGTATTATTTGCACAAATTGGGAAAACAAAGCAGAGTAAAATTTAGAATAAAAACAACATACAAAAGTAAAAGTAAACATGCATTTAAAAATATCCCAAAACAGCCTTGACATATATCCTCTCAGGAACTGTCACAGTCCCTCTGTGAGGAGCATGCATTTATTATTCCTATTTACAATGAAGGAAATAAAGACTGGGAGAAGGATTAAATTTTCACAGCCAGGGAGTTGCAGAAGTAGGTAATACCAGAGCCTAAAAATTCCAAATCCCAGGTGCCTTCTTTTCCCTACACAATCCATTCTCCCTGGAAGTGAGGATTTTGATAAGTCAGAAAATAGCCTAAGAAAGAGAAGTCAAGGAAGACAGGAGTGGAAAGAGTCTGTAGGAAATTATCTAATGAGTCTATGGAAACCCAGAGAACATGTGTTTAGAGTAACAGGGGAAGGATGAAAAGCTATGAAGCTTTGAAATAAAAATTTATTTTCTGGCGAAACAAACTGAAACTGCCCTCCTTTAGCAAAATGTGTTTGGTGACATGATGGAGTGAAGGAAATTCTGGCAGAGAGATATGAAGAGTACTGAGGTTCTGGGAGCCATAGAAGAGAGGCTGTGGACTTAGAGCAGGGCAGAAAGGGCCATTTCCTCCCAGCATCATCTCATTAAGAGTAAGAACAGCAACGTTGCCAGCAGAACAGAAGTTGCCTAACAAGCATTAGGCATGAGACACGATCTATGTGAAAGCCCAGCGGCCTCTGCGCAGTTTACTTTTTCATTAGGCACACGGGCCCACCCCAGCACACCTCCAGAGAGAAAGGAAAGCACATTCCACATGACATTCTTATACCAGAATTGCCACACAAATACAAGGGTCAATAGACTTGAGAACTCACCCTCAGAGGCTGCCAGGAGACTTCTTTTTCAAAAAGCCTTGGGTCCAAATTCTAAGTCAAACTTTGCTTGTAGATTGAGAAAATATTTAAAGCCATGACTCCTACTGTCTTGTACTTCAAAAGAGCAAAGAAATAAGTGGGAAATCCAATCAGAAAATCTAAAGGGGGAAACCACATTTGAACAAAGAATACTTTCTTTCAGATAGTTATAAATGCTCTCAGATATTTACTCCATCCGTGTAACTCACCTCCAGCAAAGAAAAAATGGTCTGTTATTACAGACATGATGATCATTTTTAAAATACGGTAATCAAGGGGTCCAGTGATCTGGCCAAAGTCACATAGGAATTAATGGGCCAAGAAAGTAGTAGAGAAGTGAAACCATGTCTTCTGATTCTTCTGCCTGGGAGCGCAGCCACTACCACTCAGCCTGTCAGCAAGAAGAATTAAGGGTCAAAGAGAAATGCACCTCACCCACAGAAATGGAAATTCCAAGTGTACCCCCAGATAAGTGGGGGCCCAGAAAAGAACACAGAGAAGTGGCCCACACAGCCCAGGCATTTTCACTTTCGTGCTGAATTTTCCTTGATAATTGCAAGGCAATTCAGAAGTCCCCACCCTGATTTATGAATTACTTTAATAGAATTCCCCATTCGCTAAGGTCTGTGAACTTCATGGCATCATGGCAACTACGATTGGCAGGAGTATTCTGTAAAGTCCCTCTCATTCCTCTCTGATGACCTCCAGTTTGCAAGGTATACAGCATTTTGGTTTAAAGGCAGCAATTTCCAAATGCTCTCATTTTTGGCAATTTTCACTAGGTCAACTGTGAGTTCCAGTTTAGAATGCCAGAAAGCCTTTTTTTTTTTTTTTTTGTATGGTCAGAAACCAGTATAAAATTGGGAGTGGGAATGGCCGAAAACCTTTCATAGATGACATTAAGGGTAGGTATTAGCTCTCCTTTAAATAAAAATACTCATCGCAGAACAATTACACAAACACCAACAGAGACTTGGAATTCTCTAAGAACATAAGGATCAAGAAACCAGAGCCTGTAGAGATTTCACTCGTATGTATAGCCACAATATTGTTGCTGAAGAAAAGGAAAGTATTTACAGTGAAGACAAGGAGGCCAAGACGGAAGGACGTGCAGGCCTTGATAAGTTATTTGAAAAAGCAAAAAAGCCCTAAACATTTAAAGAGAATCATAAAAGATTTTGTGAGACTCAAAGGGAGAGCAAATTCTGTAGCTAGCGATGGAGTTTTTGAGTATTGGCAAACGCAAACCTCCGGAGAACAGGGCAGCCTCTCGGGGAGCCTCGGGGCTGCCTTTCCACCGGCCCCCTGACGGCTTCTTTTAAGCTCTGAGGATTCACTGGCAACGCAGCTTACTTTGGCAGCACCACACACGTGTTGCTTACTTTGGCAGCACCACACACGTGTTGCTTAGAGATGGTCTCAAACGTGGAGCGAATGAGTAAAGCAAGGAGAGAGTTAATCCAGCCGGGAGAACTGAATGCAGAGCTGAGACAATCCTAAGTGACTTGGACTACAGAAAAGGAGAGAAGGAGATGGGGGCTTTCCCCTGCTGAGCAGGGTCTCACCTTGAACCAGGGTCGGGGAGCTGTTGCAGGTACAGTCTCCCAGGCACCAAGCTCAGAGGCCCCGGGCTAGGTTCAGTTCTTCGCTGTTGCCATCTTGAAACCCTTAATAATCTTTGAACATGTGGCCTCGCATTTTCATTTTGTACTGAGCCCTGCAAGTCATGGAGCCAGTCCTGGTCTCCTAACAAAGCAGCACATGGTATCTGGGCTTTCAGATAACATCCAAAACTGGGGACTTCCGACTCCTAACTTACCAGCAGGCACAAAGAAATATGGAGAGTCGAGGTAGATAATTTTGACAAAGTGAGAATTTTGAAGAGATGGCATATATTTTTTCTTCCTGGTAAAAGCTCGAAGCAGGATTTAGTTTCTATTCTTTACTGGCATAATATTTTTTTTCAAAAGTCATTCAGGCTGTGGTTTGACCTGGCGCAGTTTAAGAAACTGTAATCACCGGACCAACGAGAGAAAAAATGCCCCATCAACTCAGCCCAATTCAAAGTGCATTAGTCTTCCTGGGAGGGGAACCTTTCTTAGGCTTTGTTTTAGAAGGGGCCTACGGAGTTCTTTGTGTTTGAGAAAAACAGCACTGAACTGGTCGGCTACCTGGCAGGGTGAATATTTCATGTTTAAGGAGGTATTCTGAGAGGTCGGCCTGGAGATGCAGAAGGACAGAATCATTTCTGGGTTGCTTTGGATTCAGATCCTATTTAATTCAGATCCTTGCCTCGGCAACCTTCCTGCAGGGTCCTCCCCAAAGAGCGCACTGCTTCTGTAGCACAGAAGGTCCATATAAAAATATTACGTTTCAATAAATAAGTACTATAATTAAGAGTAATCTTTTCCATATCCCGAATTCAGCACTAAAATTAAACAAGCCCTCACATATTCCAGAGACAATAACTGAAGGGGCGGGGGTTTGAGGAAACAGATGAAAACAATATAAAGACATGCAAAACTGCTATTAGCTTGGGATAGATAAAAGAATTTCTAAATTATAGCTTTTGGTAATGTTTAAGTTGAGAGTCTAGTAATCTGGGTGCAAATTGTACTTTGGAGCATTTGTTCTTTGTAAAAGAAAACAGGTTAAGGGAAAAAAAAATAGAGCTGCTAAGCCCACCACCAGAAAACAAGTCTTCAGGGAGGGGCTTCAGCCCTTTGAACCATATATAGAACTTATCACCACAAGTCTTCAAAGCTTGGACACTGAGCTAAGGCCTGCTTGTTGATTTTTAGAGCTGGGAGTGAGAACCTAGAAATCACTCACTTCATAAACCTTTTCTCAAGTAGGAGAGGTCATTGGTGGAAGGGTACCTTCTGAGAAGCCCTCAGAGCACAAGAGGAGATGAGGGACAGTGAGGAGGGCTATTCGGTCAGCACCTTCATGGTGCACTTCTCCAAGGTGGCCACCCAGCTGGCCAGCTCGCCTCCACAGGGCCCATAAAGGGTGGGACTTACCCAAAGTCACACAGCTCGATAGAGGTGGGTGTGGGACTCCCACTCAGGCCTCCAAACCCAGCCGGGTCCTTCCTGCTGGGGAGGGGGCAGGAGTGTACCAGTGCACGCAGTCCCCGCCAAGCAGGGGCCACCCAACCTGCCAAAGCCCAGGCTGAGCCATCCTTTCTCTGTGAAGCCCTGAGGATCCAGAGTAAAGATATTCCAGGAATGTAGGTCCATATACTGATGAAAACATCCTTAGGAATTGCCCTTGCCCTCCCTGAGTCACTGTGGTGGGAGCCCAGACATCTCTGCACTGTGCTTTCTCACTGATCGCTTCTGTCCCCAAACATCACACACACATATTCACTATGTTTTGATGTAACCAGAGCCTTTTTAACTGAGGAAATATTCCATGAAAATGTAATTTTAATCTTATTTTGAAAATCCCAAATGTTCATATATGTGGGTTTCTGAGGAGCTGAACTGCTGTAACCCAGCAGTTCTCAAACTTGAGAGTCCATCAGAATATCCTGGAGGTTTGTTAAACAGATTCTGGACCCCATCCCTAGAGATTCTGATTGAGATGGTCTCAGGTGGGACCCAAGAGTTGGCATTTCTGACAAGTTCCCAAATGATGCTGAAGTTCCAAGGACCGCACTTGGACTTTACTGTCAATAGTGTCTGAAGGAATCTCTGCTCCATTAGCCACATCTTCACAGTGTTGCAAGGCTTGACACCCACTTCCAAAGAGACAATGTCTGTCATCTCAGTGCCATGCTAGAGCTGTCATCAACATGAAATATAAAGAAGTAGGCTTGTGAATACCCTCAACGTCTGCCTTCCTGTGATATCTTCTGCCCAGGCTCTTGTTCTCTGCCCGCAAGATGATCTGAATGGGGACTCAGTCCAGGGCTCCAAAAGGTCCCCTCTCCCGGTAGAACGCACAGTTAAGGAGCTGGGCATGATATGGTGGCCGTATGGATGTGGACAAGGCCAAGAATGTTGACAGGATAATTCAGGAAGACAATGTAACCATGCTCAAGTGAAAGAGGATGACATTGTCTTGAAGTTTCCAAGACATAGTCTGGAATCTCAGGTTCAAGTCCATGTCCCTTTGCTAGGCAGGGGGCAGTAAAACTTTTCACTGGAAGAGGAAAACTAAAGGCAAAATCCTCTTCTTTAGAAGCGGTAAAGCTGGTATTGATTAACATTTAAAGAGGCAGTACTTTTTTATATACCAATAACTTTTATTATTTTAACAGACAGATTTCTCCTTCCAGTTATGTTTTCTGTGAAAATAAGATAATTGGTTTCAGAGAAATGTTATTTACAAATTAGGTTATTTTCTCATTTGTATTTTAATTTCTTGCTTAATTCTGGTCAAAAATCTTGTGAGCTATGCATTTGAATTTATAATTAAATAACCAAATAATAATAGGACATTACTAATATACTGGTGATAAAAAATGAACATTGTAGAAAAAATGCATAGGAACAAAGCTCTGTAAGGAAAATAAGGAAATAAAGGTTAATTTGAAGTTGAAATTTGGCCCTTAATTTTCCATTATTACACTCTTAATTCACTTCCAAAACTGTCTAATTATATGCTAAGCACTAGGGGAAAACCAATAAATTAATAAGCATGAAAGAACCTCCCAGATGTTAAAACATGGGTGGAAATTGCATTCTAATTATTTAACAAAAGCCTGAGATAATGTCAGTGCCCTCAAAATAGTTTGAAATACCCCAGCCACTTGGGTCAGCCTTCTTGTAACATGAGCATCGTTTCTATAACTCACTGCCAAGAGCCATCAGGTTAAAACACTATTTAAACCATTTCAGATGCCCAAAGCATCTCAAGATAGCCCACACTGATGGGACACATTAAATAAGTCCAGTACCCCATTCTGTGGGAGCCCATCCCAAACGTGAGCCTAGCTTTCATGGCCCCAACCCTGATTCCTTGGCTGTAGATTCAACAATTCCAGTCATATTAGCAGGGTTCTCCAGAGAAGCAGAACCAATAGGAGATTATATATTACATATACTATTTTACATATATTGTCTATTATATTTATACTGTATAGTCATATATTTAAATATATTATGTATTTAAAGAGAGAGTTGGAGAGAAAGATTAATTTTAAGCATTTGGTTCATCCATCCTTCCAAAGGCAAGGCATGGGGAAGAGAGAAGACAGCAGATGAGGGGAAGTGTCAAGTCATTAGGACCAGAGTCCAGGGCACCCGTGGGGCAGAGGACCCAGGGCCCCACCATGGAGAGTCACGAATGCCATGGGAATACTGTCATCTCACCCTATCGACAAAGAAGAGCAATTGAAGGATTTTACACAGGGAAGTACGCAATCCCCACATGACAGTCAGAAAGATAATTAAGGCCTTGGGTGGAAGGGACAAAATGTTCTACTTCCAGAGGCTTCCAGTCCCAAATATAAAGGCAAATACAGAAGAAAGTACATGGCAGGACATTTCTTTGTTGGATTGCTGGATTTTAAAGATTTTACCATTGGCAGGAGAAGGTACAATGCTTTTACAGTAAAAGAAATAAACTGAGTCATGGACTTAAGAATAGGGTGGAACTTCTCAAGTAAGACCACCCGGCCCAGGTTTTACTTTGACTGGCATGTTGTATAGCTGGTATAATGCAGTCAAGGCAGCTAAGGCTTGGAAACTGAAGCGATTGGT